TTGAGTGACCATAAAAGATAAAATAGAGATAAAAATCCTTCAATCATACAACCCCTTTGTGTAGATATGTTCACATAGAAAAATAAAGTTGTAAAGCATTGTCTCACCTGTATAAGATCTCTTCACTTTGGTCAGTCTTTAACTTTAAGTCAGCTGGTTGGCTGAGGCCTGGTTTGGACAGGAACATCAGGACTGCTGACCCTAATTATACCTATATGAAAGAACAATTGATGCCAGGTATGAATGGACAACTAACTACCAGGTAAAGATGCACTCTTGTGACCTTGTACTTTGCCTCTTCCTAGAAATGTAGACAAGTGCTTATACATGTATACCAGTAATCAAGTAAGGGAACACAAAATTAATTTGAAAGATGTTTTGCTACATGTGTGTTATTTTTATGAAGTGTAAGATGTAAGGGAAGAGTGCTAGAGTCAAACAGATCTTCTAAAGCATTGTCTCACCTGTGGATGTTGTCATCTTGCTCTTGTGTCTCTAAATCACCCGATCTGGTCCAATCTTCTCTTGTCAGGTTCAGACAGTCGTCTTCACTACTGCATCAGTCAGCAGCCACCTAACTATACAGATATTAGAAGTTACACACTTGTCTCAAATTACAAAGTAAATAGTAGGTTGAATGCAGAATTCACATTTTTCTCACCTGAGAGTCATCATCGGTCTTCAAATCACCTGGTCTGGTCCAATCTTCTCTTATCAGGCTTATGAAGAACTCACCACTACTGCATCAGTCAGCAGCCACCTAACTGTACAGACAGTAGAATAATAGGTTGAATGCAGAATTTAGATTTTTCTCACCTGATATTTCTCTTGGATCTTCAAATAATCTGGTCTGGTCCAGTCTGTCTTCTCAGGTTCAGACAGTAGTCCTCACTACTGCGTCAGTACTAGTAGACAGCCACCTAACTATACAGACATTAGAAGTTAAACACGTGTCTCAAATAAGACCAAATAATTGTAGGTAAAATGCCATATTGGGATTTTTCTCACCTGGTATTCCTCTTCGGTCTTCAAATCATCTGGTCTGGTCCACTCTGTCTTCAGTACTGCATCAGCCAGCAGCCACCTAACTATGCAGACCTTAAAAGTTACACACTTGTCTCAAATAATGCCACTGGTAGGTAAAATATTTTTCTCACCTGATATTCCTCTTCGGTCTTCAAATCATCTGTGGTCTGGTCCACTCTGTCTTGTCAGGTTCAGACAGAAGTTCTCACTACTGCATCAGTCTTCATCTAACCATACATACATTAATATACGGTGGAAGACGAAACGCATTTTATCTCAAATTGTACCCTCTATAGCAATGAACGAAATGAACTCTTTGACTTCGTGTCCAAATTCTACCCAAACTTTCACGCATATACAAATGAAAAGAAAACTACTCTCCTCTTAACATCCGAAAACCCACAAATTATAGAAAAAGTGGGATCCTTTGTCTTCCTCTGTCTTCAAAAAAGAAGTAGTTTTCTACTAGTAGTTTCTTAGTAGTTATCAGTAGTTCTATGTGTACTAATTATCTGTTTTTATCCAAATGTTTCTTCTTTTCATGCAATTAGCCTTCGGGCATGAATTTGCAATAAACTTTCGAATTAATATAAGTTGAACACTTGTCTCAAGTTAAAAACTAGCAATGCACACACACACACACACACACACACACACACACACACACCTTAAATACCTTTACTTTAAAACAAACACATACCTCCACGAAAACTCTACATAATGACCATAAAAACGGGGATAGAAACAACAATAAAATAAAATAAAAACTCCCTTCAACTGAAACTTAATGTGGAATACGAAACAACTCGGCGCAAAATATTTTGAAAACAGGAATTGCTACCTTCAAGCATAGTCATCTGTAGTGTTTGCGCCAGAAATACTTGGGCTTTAAGGTCATTACTATTTACTGAATTACTCTAAAAGGGAAACGAACAAGCTTTTAAATATTATTATAAATGATACATTGCAAATGTTAATGAAAAGCGAATTTCAAAGTATGGTCAACTCGACTTAACTGCTTTTCAACTGTTTTGTATCGTATTCATTTCGGCGCCCTAAAGCTTTGAGGCTCCCATCGTGTTTACGCAAATTTTTGGCGGGAAAAAAACTAATTATGTACACAGCCACATTCCAGGTGTTTTGAACCACGTGGAGATAAAGAGAGAAATGGTTTGGTCAATGCAGAATTTCTTTCGACAAATATAACTTCAAAACGCTGAACAACTGACTAAAAAGACATGCACATACATTTAACACTCTACAAGTGCACCACACATTGAAAATGTTGTTGAAAACGCGGCAACTTGATGGACTTTTCTAAGCCTATGTAAAATTAGGAACGGTCGCTATCTAATACAGAAATAGTTCATTTCTTACGGAACATGTTGTTGACATGTTCGCACTAGTTGCTAACTTGAGGAATAATGTCAGCCAAACAATGTAACTGGTTTACCTGAAACAATGAGCGAAGTCGTCTCCATTAGTCCATACCACGCTACTCTTCCAAGCTGTCTCGCCATTTTTGTTTTCTCCAAAATTCGCCAGGTCAGGAAATCCGCATTTTCTCCTCAAAACATCACCAGATCGGCACAAATGCACAGCGAAAACTCCCGAACATTCTGCTGCGCACTTACTAAGACATTCTACCGACGAAAACGTCTAAACGTTCTCAGAAAGTTGTGAAAAATTCAGCCCAGAGTATTCCCGTCGTACAAATCGCCATTTTGAGCAGACCATACCAAACTTGTTTTTACACAGGTGTGCAGAATGGCCGTGCATAATTAATGTGAAGTTGATAATCTAATTATGACGACCAATGACGGCCCGTTTCGATGCCAGGCACTTATATGTGTCGAAGAAAGACGACTAGATTATCTAATTACGAAGGATACTAAGTAAACGTTGATGTCAATCTCGGTAAACATACGGATGAAAATGCAGCTAAAGGGCACCTTTAAATTCGTATTTTTATCTTTACAAATAAACGTTTTGAAGAATAAGCTGTTATGTGGCCACAGTATGAAACATATCACTCTTGCCCAATTTTCCTATTAACTGTAAATTTATTTACTTTCGCGGGGACTTTATTCCGTGGTAGAATAAGGCCACACCAATTTTATTTGGTGGTTCTCGGATTTTTTCAGAAAAAATATGAAGCGACAGGGCGAAAAAAAATAAAAAATAAAAACAGGTCTAGGCATCCTATTATAGCCCAAAATGCTATAGTAGGAGCCATGAAGTCAACACAAAAGGCTGGGCTAATATTTAAACAATGAACTTTTAACTAGAAAGGTAACATTTGCTAAGCAAATGCATAATGTCAACCTTCACATATGGTCTGTTCTGACCAGTTTCCCAGAATGCAATTCGAAAATAGGGGGTAACCCTCATTTGCATAGGACTGGGAGGCATCGGAATGATCCTGTTGACGTTTGCTTGCTGTCACTGTGTTTTGAGGTGTTCGGACATTTTATGCTCAACATTAATTAAACAAATCAACAAATGCCATACATATAGAGAAATACATCAAGGATGTGGTATGTTGTGAGTCTCTTTTGTGATGCATTTTTCAACTCAAACTGGATCATAATTTTAATGCACACGTCCACGGTTAATGGTTGATGCTGTTAATGGTTGATACTGTTACATTTTCTTCTGGAGTGGAATTTAAGAGAACGGAAATGTCACCTTTAAAATCCTTCGAAGCGCAATTAGTTGAAGTTTTCTTGTAGATAGAGCTTTTGAATGCGCTCATTATTTGTTCTTCTATCTCGTTATATATATATATATATATATATATATATATATAT